TTAAGCCAACTCACTTATATATTTTGCTGGTATATAAAGACGTTTTAATATAAAATTTGGAATTTTTTCCACTTTTAGTTCTTCGACTATTATGTCATTGACACTTTTGATACTCAACTTTGATTTTTTCATTTTTAGTCCTCGACATTGCTCTAAAGACACTTTTGGTACCCTTCTTTGAAATTTTCCATATTTAGTCCTTCAACTTTCATAAAAATGACACTTTTGGTCCTTCAATTATTATAATATTGTCATTTTTAATCCTTCACTTATTGTGTCTAGATCATAATGGGAGGACTAAAAGTGTCAATTTGACATTATCGAGGGACTAAATGTGGAAGACCTTGAAGTTGAGGACTAAAATTGTCTTTAACACAATAGTCGAAGACTAAAAATGAAAAAAATAAAAGTCGAGTACCAAAAGTGTCACTGACATAATAGTCGGGGGACCGAAAGTGGCAAAAACTCATAAAATTTCGCCTTTTTCACAGGAATTCTCTATAAACACATGCAATTAGGAGAATTGTGTACAATTTGTATACTAATTTGTGTACCCCTAATATTTTTGTATTTTGTTTGACTGAAGCCATATCTCTTATAAATATTAGAAGTTAGTAGCAAAATTTTAAAAGTCCATGAATTTTAAAAGTTTAGGAGTATTAGATGTGGATTTTTAAAAGTCTATAAAAGTATAGGCGTATTATTCAAACTCCTGTTCATTCTTATGGAATTCTAAAATCACGGATCCTCGTGGATTTTTAACTCATTTTTAATACATTAATTCTCTGCAATTGTCTCTTTTTTCACCAAAGATTTCCATGGACTTTTATAGTCATCTTCTACTTATCACAAGTACGCATAGATCTGATTGCAGATTTAGCTAGTTATTTAGCCGGGATCACAAACCAGCCAACAAGTCCTGGACTAGTACTGGTCGTGACGAATGGTGGGTACCAGGATGGTCTCAGTATGCAAGGTTTGAACATTAAATTTTGATTTCCCCTATCATTTTACGCTAAATAAAGTTGAACAAGGTGTTTGTACATGAATACCGATACACAAGATAAACTTATCTTTTCAATTTAAATAAATAAATAAATAAATAAATAGTGATGTTTTATATATATGTCGTTTTACGAAGAAAAATGTAGGGCTGAGATCGGTTCATTTATTGAACTGTTAATCCCATATCTATTCGGTTCTTGAAGTTTTTAGAAGAACTAATATAAGAATCGATGGTATTAATTCGGTGCAATTATGGTACGTTGTCAGTTAATCATTAAGAACTTTTTTTTAACTATTAATGTGTTTCATCGTGAAATTGCCAACACATACTACCTCCGTCCCAAAATTAACTTCCTGTTCGGTTTACGATGTTTGACTGACGATAAAGCAACTCGATCCCTGTTCACACTCGGATTATTTAAGTCTGATCCAGAAAATTTAAGTTTGATAAAAGTTTGATATAAAAAGTAAAAGATTATGAGTGATTCAAGTTGACCAATGAATAGTGACTGTGAAGTTGTTTTTGGGATGGAGTAGAATATAATTTCAAATTACTAAATATTTAACGTAAATAAGTATACAAAATTTAACAAGCTAAAAATGAAAAGAAAACAATTATTAAGAAAAGCTTTGTCCAAAAAGAAAAACTCAATTGCACAAATGTTTGTAGTTTGTACCACATGTAGCAATGAGTGTAACTCTTGTGTAATTATCAATGTTCTTACTCATTGAGTTGTGTAATACGAAGTATAACAATTGATTATAAATAGATCGAGATTACATTGAGTTTCTTTTTAACAAAAATAAACTTGGATTCTTATGCTTCATTTATTCTTGTAGAACTCTGCGTGGCTGGATGTTTTACATTTGTTTCATTTATTTACTTATTTCTAATTGTTTTTTTATTATATTACACATATGAAATTACTCATGGTACGTAGGACTAAAACATACGTTGTACCATTTTACCAAAGTATGATCATATGTTTGATTTTATTTAAACAGGACTAAATATTACATTTCTACCCCTAATATAATTAATTGACATAATTAATTTCTCATATGTTCCTTGCATAATCAAAGTCATGTTGTTGGCGGCGAACTCCAATCTAGGTGAAATTCCGATGACCGGCAGTCACAGTCCTGATTTAAAAGTCTATAAACGTTACTTATCCATGGATTTAAAAGTCAATACAATACATTCATAAAAAAGTCCAAGAATTTAAAAAAAAGTACACCACAATCCATATTCAATACACTCCTCTGAGTTTAAAACGGGATTCAAACTTAACCGGGTCCATGTATATAATCGTGAGGAGAACGTACTGGCGAGCCATAACTCTTTTATGTGATGAATTGATGGGTTCTAATTTATTGTGCTTGTGAATTACTACATATACGTAGATGCATGCTTATTATTTGCATATACGTAGTACTTGTATTTATATACTAGTATACTAATTAAACCTAGCTTTACCGTGCTTTCAATATCTTGTGATATTCTAAATTTCTAATATCATTTGTGAACACTCTTTGTTGAACTCAACAAGACAACGATCGACATAGTATTTTAGTGGAATAATGATGTCAATATCGCTTACCAACCCCATTCAGCAGTCAGCACAACAAATAAGTAGACTGAAAATCTTGACAACCCAGCTAACAATGTTGACTTTAATTTAAAGCATGTTACCACATCTTTTTCTTTCACTTATTTTTTCATTATATTTTGAAATATAGAATGGTAGAAAATAAGATCCCGGCCTTTTCGTTGAACACACATTTTCCGTTTGAAAAAAAAAACAGTGAATTAGAATTAGATTATATCAAATTCACTCATTTTGTGATTTGATGAAATCAGTGTAATACTTTCAAAGATAATGTCATATAACGAAACTTATCCTAATAAATTGATGTTGGTATTTAACAAAGAAAAGATACTATAATAGAAGTGTTGGGATAATGGGCCGGGTCCAAGACTATCTGCCGTTACACCCGAACTTTGACCCGACCAAGCTCAGAACACAGACCAGCTAGCAGATATTGGTCCATGATTATTTAATTACTTATCGGGTATGCCGGCTCATTAGCATCAGTATTAGTTGATAAATGGGGCCAAACCCATGTAGCCTTTTATAATTGGATTTGTTGTAAACACCTATACATAGGTCATGCAATTATCCTGTAATCGGAGGTTATTTTCAATATACTGACATGTTGCTAGTTTCTCTATCCGAGATATTTTCTACCAACGAGGAGTGTAAGTACATCCAAAAAAAATTGTCACTCACACAACCTCCCATCTTTATCTTTTTATGCTTATCCGTCACGGATCACACAACCTCCCATCTTTATCTTTTTATGCTTATCCGTCACGGATCACATCCTTAATTAGTATGGAAAAATTTATAGAAAAATTTACTCGGAAATTCACAAAAAAAGACCAGTGTTGATGTTCTCTCTCTAGGGCTTTTAGCCGCTAGAGCTTCGTTTTCTCCGCTAGCGGCCTTCTTAGGTGCGGCCGTAGGCGGGGGTGTTTTGGGGCCTTCATAATTTTGCTGTCCGTTTCGCTTTGCAGGTCAAAGGACGAAGGGCGAGCGAAATCTTGGAGTAGCAGATTCGAGCAGGGCGACCGGTGGTTCAATTTGGCGGAGAACGTGATGGGCGGCAGAACGATGAAGGAAAGTGGTTCGACGAAGGATGTGTTGTACGGAGAGGTGGGGTAAATGAAGGTTGCTCGGCAGGAAACTGACCGTGCGACGGATGGAAGCAGAGCCTTCAGTGCTAGGGGTTGGAGTCGTGGCTTGTTCGTGTCAACAATCATAGCAATGGTCCGACCTTCTCCTGAACCACCGCCAGGGGCTTGCTTGGTGAATTTGTGGAGGTGCTCGTGAAGAAGGAAATGAATTTTATTTATCTGCAATTTTTTATTGTCGTTTTAGTCATCATTCTGTTATTTGTTTTGTTGCTATTATTTTTTATTGTAAGACTCTTGCATTAAGATCGGGTGAGGTTTGGTCTACTTCAATCGTCCGTGGCTCAGGTTTGCTCATTAATGAATCAGCGAATTATATTGCTTGTTTGAAGGTGATTAACTCCAAGTCTGGTTCTGGGGCTGACAGTTGTCTGTGGGTCCTTACTCATTTTACTCCTTTCTGAATGTTAGTGCTTTCATTTCAATATTACCCCATCTTCAGTGGCGTATCCACTCTTATATATATGTCTAAAGTTTTATAAGAAATTGCTCAAAATAAGAGTTAAATGTGGGGAAAAAAATCTAAAATAGGATTAAGAGTGTTTTCTTTTATATTAAAAGAATGAAAGGCTAAAAAATCACTAAATTTTGTTATGTTTAACTTATATTTAGGTAATTTTCTTAAATTTTATCTGCAATTAAATCTTTACACACTCATAATATAAATTAGGCTAAAGGGTCAAATAGGTCCTTGAACTAACTTAAAGTGTTCAATTAGCCCCTTATATAGGAGGTTCTGCCCGACCGTCGCCAATTGAGGCGTTTCCCGGTGGAATTTGTTGATGAAATTTTTTGAGTATCTTCTTCATTAATTGTAGTTTACCCATACCAAATTTCAGCGAAAAATTCAACCGGGAAGGCAGTCAAATGATTTTTTGAAGATAACTGCGCAGTTAAACAGCGCAATACATTTCGGAAAATCATTTGATTGCCTTCCCGGTTGACGTTTTAGCTGAAATTTGGTATGGGCAAACTAGGCTTAATGAAGAAGATGCTCAAAAAATTTCATCAAAAAATTCCAGCGGGAACCACCCCAATTGGCGATGGTTGGACAGAACCTCCTATATAAGGGGCTAATTGAACACTTTAAACTAGTTCAAGGGCCTATTTGACCCTTTAGCCGATAAATTAATCTTCTTTTTATTCATACTTGTACATATATATCTTAAAGTAAATATATATAATCTGTTAGCGTACCAATTATTATTTACGTATACATGCCTATGCATGCACACGTAGGGGTCATCATAAAGTAGCAAAGGTCTCCTAGCCTTATCATTATACTTTGGTATTATCCGTATGTAAATCATTTGTATTATCTATTATGATGTATATTAGATTATACTTATTGGCTGTCCAAGTTCAATGTATACGGAAGCCTTTGAGATAATATAGGAGTTCGGTTAATTTGAGATAAACTCGAATAACCAACGATTGTAAAGGCATGCACCATATTTAAATGGTACGCATGATTGAATAATACACACGGTGTATTCCTTTAGCTTCTAACTAAGGGTGACCCAATCGATTATGCCAAACTGCAGCTGAGAGTAGCGCACAAGGATGCCGATGGGATTGACTGGGAAGAACGGGATATAAATGGCCGGAGCTATTGCACCTCATGAGTTGTGTGCCCGTACTGAGATCCTTCACACAAAAACCAAAAGGGTCAAAAGTGACAGACACATTATTATCAGTCGTAAATTGACGAACAGAAATCAGGTTTTTGATTAGGGAAGGGGCATGTAGAATATTATGGAGTTTAAGTGGAGGGTGAGGGGAGGGTAGAGTGGATGTACCAAGACCGGTAATAGGAATGGTGTTACCATTGCCAACTAGGATTTTGGTTTTAGTATTTAATTTAGAAAAAGACGTGAAAGAACCTGGATTTGCCGTCATGTGTGAAGTGGCGCCTGTGTCCATATACCATTGGTCATCCGGGGGTGCTAAAGACATGGTCTGCATGGCTGTGTGTAGATCAGTAGGAACCAGACCCGGGTTCGTAGAAGCAGTGAAGTGGGCTTGCTGTGGGCGGGGGCCCAAGATGCCCGCACCAGAATTTGGCCGTGGGGAGGACTGTCCAGGCCATGCCGTTGTGGGATAGGGACAAGGAGGAGTATTCCAGGGTGTAGGTGGCATCCAATAGGCCCACGGTGGAGGTGCAAAGGGCCATTGAGGACCGGCAGTGGGCTGTGGGTCAGAGCGACCACGCCCCCGGCCGCCACGTGAAGAGGACCGGCCACGACCACCACGAGTGTTAGAGCGGCCGCGAGGAGCACGGACGTCAGGAGGTGGTGGAGGCGGTGGATTGCCGGTGTGAACAAGTGCTGTGGCTGGGGAATTAGCATGTGTGGTCTTGCGGGTTTCTTCAAGACGAAGCATGGAGCGGGCCGTGTGAAAGGGTGGGAGAGGATTGGCTTGCTGAATGAAAGTAGCAATTGTATCGTACTGTTCTGGCAGTCCGTTAACCATACGAAGAACCAAGCGGCGTTCGTCAACCTCAGCGTCTACATTGGCGAGTTGATCGGCGATGGTTTTGAGGGCCCGACAGTAGGAAGTGACGTTGGGAAATTGCTCCAACCGGGTATTGGAGAATTGATTTTCAAGATGTACAGCACGAGAGGCTTTGTTATCTTGAAAAATTTCAGAAAGACGGTCCCTAGCGTGTTGGGCGGTACTGTCGGGTTCAATAATGGTGTGCAGGAGGTCGGTGGAAATAGTACCGTAAATCCATTGTAGGACAATGGAATCAAGTCGGGTCCAGAGAGCCAAAGCTTCACCACGAGCGACTTCTTGTCCAACCGGGGTGGTGGCGGGAGGCGTGGCCGAAGAAGAGGCCTCATCAATTGGGGTGGGAAGAATGTGATCTATGACTTGATAGGCCCGTGCTGTAATTTTAAAAAGCTCACACCAAGAAGAATACTCAACAGTCTCAAGATCAAGAGTGATTGGTATGAAATTCTTGATATTCGAGACTGTGAGAGCGGGATGAAAGGGGGGGGGGGGGGTTTGGAGGTGGGGGAAGTCATTGTTGTTTGGTGAAGAGTACCTGGTCTGCTGATACCAAGTTAGAAGCTAAAGGAATACACCGTGTGTATTATTCAATCATGCGTACCATTTAAATATGGTGCATGCCTTTACAATCGTTGGTTATTCGAGCTTATCTCAAATTAACCGAACTCCTATATTATCTCAAAGGCTTCCGTATACATTGAACTTGGACAGCCAATAAGTCTAATCTAATATACATCATAATAGATAATACAAATGATTTACATACGGATAATACCAAAGTATAATGATAAGGCTAGGAGACCTTTGCTACTTTATGATGACCCCTACGTGTGCATGCATAGGCATGTATACGTAAATAATAATTGGTACGCTAACATAATCAAACAATATTAATAATGTGATTTGCAATTTGTGAAATATGAGACTAAATTGTAGTGAAGGTTTGCGCCACTACCCATCTTCCCAAAAAAAAGTGGAGTGCTAATGTAACTGTGCAAGTGAATGTGCATCAGCAATGGGATCATTGGCAACATATCTGTTGGTCACATGACTCGCATGACATACAAATAATGCTCCGTAATATATTAGTCTCTTTTTGGAATTTATTGAAAGGTGCTCACATTTTAGTCATTATTCATTAGCATTAGTTTACAACTTTACATACACTTTAATAAGGAACAATATGATGCGCATCCTCGATCCGTGAACACCTTTATATCGTCTAGAAATTAAAATTTAGTTCGGAAAATAGGTCTATTCATAATGTGTTTGGTGACCTATCTTTTACATTATCACCTTTATCAACCAACTTTTTTACTAAACATATACTCATAATTTACTCCCTCCGTTCCAATAAATTCTTCCTAGTTTGACTTGGCTCGCAAATTAAGAAAATGAGAATAAAGTGAAAATGTATTGTTGTAGTTGTGTAAGAAGAATGTAAACGAATGTGAACTACACAATTTTTCCAAAAGTGGAAGTTGGAAGAATTTTTTGGGATGATCCAAAAAGAAAAGTGGGAGTTGGAAGAATTTAATGCGACGGAGAGTATTATTTTACGAGTTGAATTGTGTAAAAATAAGAAAAATTAAGATTGTAGTTACTTTTCTGGCGTATTCGCTCAAGTTACTATAAAAGATTATTTTAGCTATTTTTTCATATAATTTCTTCTTTATTTTATTTTTAAACTATACTTTAAATATAATTTTTTCATAAATCAGCATAATCAACAATCGGCAAGAACTCCATAAATTTCATCAAAATTAATCAATACAACCGAGTTAGATATTAACAAACGCCCTCTTATTATCCCAATATGATTATATACTTCGTATTTTGTAAGCATTGTTGTATAAATACAACAATGCTCATTGTGAGCATTGTTGTATGATATCATTGTTGAGTACTTGAGTATTGAAATAAGATACTACGTATGCTACTATGTGTGCCTTGGTCTCATCTTGTTTGGTATATTATGTCCAAGTATCTTGTATATTTGAACTTCCAATTCTCAGTGTGAGACTAGATCATAAATCAGATTAAACTAAATCATTTCATGATTTTATTTTAGCTTTATTTTGCTACTATGAAATTTGTCATCGAAAAAATGTATGGCCAAAAAAAGATTTGTTTTATTTTGTCACGGATCCCAAACTCCGGCCCAAAAAAATGTTCCTCGGTATATCTTGGGGAGGCCAGTGGCATCTTGTTACGGAAATGCCAAGGAAATATTTTGCGATAAACTCTGTCACGGAACAAAATCCCTAACTAAAACGCTATTTTTTTTGTAGTGTCAGACAATAATAAAAAACACATACTATCGGACTAGGCCGTGTTTGAACATTTGAAAGTGGATTAGAAAATACCAATTCAAATAAAACTATAAAAGCATCATAAATTTGATATAATATGGCATAATGTGGTTTAATTCGATGAGACTAACAACAATAGATCTCTCTTTAAAAAAATTGGCATAATGTGGTTGAATTCGATGAGACTAACAACATTACATCTCTCTTTAAAAATAACAATAATAGATCTCGTTACTTTATTCTTTGTAACTCATTCGTGCTTCTTAAAGTTCTTCTCATTCCACTTTGATGTTAATTAACTTTGAGATTGAGATGTCTGCTTCTCAACGTTCTTCTCAACTTTGAACTTTGAAATGCCTGCCTTCGTTATCTCAATTCTCACCATCATCTCTTTTGGTGTATACAGTGTCTACCTTTCCAAGTCATGTGCATAAATTTTATTTAAACTTCAAATCGTTATAAGATCGAAATTCCATCCCAAATAAGTATAGTATAAAACAAACCACCTAATATTATTTAAAAATCATTAAGGATGGTTTCTTTTGGACTATTTTCGGTCCCAGAAAAGACCAGATCAGACCAGACTTCTGTAGTTATAAAATACACAGAGACCACACATTATACCAGACCAGACATTATACAAGACCAGAGCAGACCAGACATTAGTTATCCATTGTGAATACTTGTAGCGCCGCTTCGCATTCAATGCGGTTACGAACGACATGTGTGTGCAACTCTTCACGAATTCCAATTCGCCTTACCAATTTCAGCACTCAAATGCACTCGAGGGTAGTTCCAAGGCGGTTTGAAAAGCGTATCACGTCCGGATATAAAAGGTACATTTCCCTTTCAAAGAAACTTTCTTCAAAATTCTCTTCGCATAAGCCTTCTGTGTGTCCGGCTTGCAAACCCTAGACGGTCTAGCACTCCAACCGTTCGTCCTGTGGACCTTCTTTATCTTTCAGGTCAGTTTCTATGTCTTCCTCTTACCCTGTTTCACTCTGTATCGTCTTCCCTGATCATTATGGGTCTGGTTCTAGCCGGCCCCATATTTCGGTAGACTCTGGGGGCATTGAGACCATTTTTATTTATCCAGTGATTTCGACCTAGGGGTCTCGGTGGCTGCTATTTCGGACTCCAAATTTGAAGAGGCGGTCCGCCTTGCCGGTCCCTCCATCATCAGTTCTCACCCCTACCCCGGGGCAAAACATCGCGGAACCCTCTACGTCTCTTCATTTTAGGGTTCATCTTGCTAGCCTCGAGGTGGGCTCTCTCTTCCCTTTTCATCCTGCCCTTTTGGATATCTTGTGCCATTATGGGGTTCTCCGAGTCAACTCACCCCCACCACACACATATTCGTAGCCGAGTTCATTGCTCGGTGCATTCTTCTGCGGATTAGGCCTTATCTAGACTTGGTCCTCACCTTCTTCTATTCTATGAGATCCAGCGCCTTTGATACCCAGGGCTTCTTTTCTATCTCTCAGTAGACGTGCCACCACCTGTTTGCGGCTAAATCTTATCCGGGCTCCTTCAAGGGTTGGCGGTATAGGTGGGTCTAGGTCGCCCCGGCATATGGGAGGCTTTCGTTTGAGAACAAGTGCGGGGACTTGATCCGGAGATGGGTTATATTGATCTTGCTAGAGGGAAATGAACCGGCCGCCAAACTCATTATTGATGGTGCAACCTTTCTCATGGGCCATTATGTATGTGAGGAAGGTGTGTTTGTTCTTGAATATACTTCAGGTCGGTTATGTCAGGTCCCTAGTTTGTCATCAATCGTGTTATGTATTTCGTTTTAGTTGCAATTTGTTATTCTGTGCAGAAGGTGATAAGATGGAGTCCCAATTGGAGAGGTTAGCGATTAGGGTCGGTTCTACCCCGGCCGGACTCCATGGTTCCTGCCATGAGGGTGCAGACGAGGGGTGCCATAGGAGGCCCCTCATCGGAAGTGTGACACCGCACCCGAGCGTACTTGATGTTGTCACGCCCCAGACCGCAATCCAAGCGCGTGTACAACCGCCGTATAATCAAGTGACGTCACCCGCGAGTCAACCTCACTTGATTACACAAGGCGTTCGAGAAAATAATCCATCCATACTCAGTAGTAAACATACATAACAACATCACATTTAAACCAATGAATAGCGGAAATATTCAACGGTAAGTCATAAGCCACAACCGGCCAATAACATGGGCATGCAAGCCCCAAAAGAATAGTTTATGACAAATAAAAATATCCATGAGCAATGTTTGGTAATTTGAAATAAAATGAGGAAGCACGAACCACGTCTTCCTTGATTGATGTCACCCGTAGAAAGGTGCAGGTAGCAAGCCCTAGCTTCAACCTGAAAATGGTGGGGCCCCCCGAAGGGGTCAGTACAAGTACCGAGCGAGTAGCAGGCTAAATATAGAATAACTATCGTTTCAAGTATAAGACCCAAACATAGGGTGATACATATACATATAGTCCTTTTCCTAAGTTTGAAATACATATTAGTATACATACACTTGGAAATACCCGACCCGTAGGTCATTGTTTATTTGGGAAAATAATAGTAGCCAATATCCTTGACTTAAATCCCAACCCACCCATATACCTATGAGTGTATAGAATTCCTCCTTGTTCAAATAAATTATCATAAGGACACCGCCCGGTCCTAGATCATTAAATGTAATCTATGAGTTTTGAGGATACACGCCCGATCCTTGGGTACTCCACCCTATAACCGAGTTTTGAGGATAACCGCCCGATCCTTGGGTACTCCACCCTATATAACCGAGTTTTGAGGATAATCGCCCGATCCTTGGGTACTCCACCCTATATAGCCGAGTTTTGAGGATAACCGCCCGATCCATTGGGTACTCCACCCGACCTATGACTTACCACATATCACGCTAGATAGGGTCTATATCATATTTAGTCATTCATAACTAATTCACTACATAAAGCTTATGTATCACAATCCATGCAAATCCATGCAATTATATAAATGTACAATTAACTAATATCAACCGACATTAATTAATCCATTATCCATCGGTCAACGTTGTCGTTGACCGCCATTCAAGCCTTGTACATATCAACTTAATCATCATATAATTAAGTTAATAATAATCATTTGTGCTTCTTTGACATTCCCAACAAATATGCATTTCATATTATTTCTCATATCATGTTTCATGTATAAACAATTAATTCTTTTCATACAAACTTATCTATGTTGGCTAATCACATGTTTAAATATCTTTTAAACATCATTATGAACACTTATAACATTTATTTAGGTAATCTTATAATTAACTCAAAAGTTATAAGATATTAAGCCGTCCACTCACCTTGAACTAGCGTATGAAGTTCTACCCTTCTTGGTTGAACTCCGGTGAAACTCCGGCGACTTTTGGTCAACTCCGGCGACAATTCCGGCGACTTTTCCAACTTTGTGAAATCACTTGAAATACCTTTCACAAGTTCCTGACAAGGTTTTATAATCATAAAACCCATATTAATACAAATAACCTCAAAAAGGTTATTTTCCGGTGAACCGGTCATTTTGGCTTCTAAGACCGTTCTTGGACATATAATCACTTCCCAACCCATAAATCCATACTTATAACATGTAGAACCCTCTTAAGGATTCTTCACATGATATATATCTCATATGGTAGGAGAAAAAATAAAGGAAAAGTTACAATGAGGTCATTATGTAACACCGCCCCCAAGTATTTGTACTTTATCAAATTATGTATTGAACCCAAGAAATGAATAAAAGCATTTTACGTGATTGTGAATTTTTATCATTTCTTTTACGTGAATAGTAAAATTCACGTGGGGCCCACACCGGAAGTGGGGGCCGCCCGATAATATCGGGGCCACATATTATATTCATTTGGGTCAAGATAATATGTGTATAATGGTGGATATCCTTGTTGGGCCATAGAAGTTATGTGAGTAACCTTTTTGGCAAATAAAGCCCATTTATCGGTACCGGTGTACTGACAGATAAAAGTCATAATAAATTATGGAGACCGCTAAATTAAAAGTTGGGGGATGTACACTCCTTCTTACATCCAATAATAATTGGAAGAATGATAGATATTTCATTTTACCCGATAAAATGAAACATAGTTAAAACAGTCCGGAAAATACAACTTTCGGGACCGAGTGTACACTCGGGGACACAAAGGGATGACCACCCATCTAAGTGGGGGCCATCCCCACGTTTTAGTCTTGCAAATGTCCATGGGAGCCGCACAAGGACATGGAGAAACAAGGAGGAAAATTGATTGAGAGCTCAATCAATTGGAAGGTGGGACCCTTGCCATAGTATTATTGTGAGAGATGCCAAAATGGCATTCTCAATCACACCAACTAATCCCATTCGTATCCAGCATCAACCAAGTGAGAGAAGCTCATCAAAATCTCCATTTTCATCCACCATATTCGAACCAAAGCTTAAGGAGAAGAAGGAGGGGAAAGAAAAGAGAAAGAAGGAGGAAAACTTGAGGATTAACAAGGTAATAACTCCATTAATCTCATCCCTCTTCATTAACCTTCCAATATGATTATATGATCATATTTCACACCCCTAGGACCATTCTACATGTTATATGGGAAGAATGAAGGGTTGGGAGGTTGGTTCATATCCAAAACGGATTTAGAGAACAAAGTTGACCGGTTCGTCGGAAAATAACCTTTTAGAGGTTATTTGTGTTGATATGGGTTTTATGATGATAAAACCTTGTTGTTAACTTGTATAAGGTACTTCAAGGACTTTCACGGAGTTGAAAGGGCCGCCGGAGTGTCGCCGGAGTTCGTTGAAGTTCACCGGAGTTTCACCGGAGCTCAATAAGAAAGGCTAGAACTTCATAAGCTCTTTTGAGGTGAGAAGACGGCTATATGCTTTATAACTTTTGATTGAGGCATGAGATTACCTAAAGTAATCAAGGATATGTTTTACGGAATGATTAAAGTTAATCAAGTATTGGCTTATGCCATGATTATATATAAAACAAAGTTGAAAGGCATGTTTTGTATGTTTGGTGATTAAAAATGTGATAACTTATTGTGTACAATGATCCAGGGGTCAAAAATGGTATTTTTGGATCAAGGACTTCAAGTAGAATATGCATGTAAAATTTCACGTTAATCGGACTCCGTTTGGGCGGTCAAACGGGCGTTGACCTCCAAGTCAACTACAATACCCGACCGGGTGTCTGCTGAAAAATTGGCTCCAAGGGCCGCTGTCTCCTATACCCGATCGAGTATGGATAGATACTCGATCGAGTATGCCTTGAAAATTAGCCTTATGGGCTCCTGTCTCCTGTACTCGACCGAGTATTGATGGGTACTCGATCGAGCATTGAGTTATACTCAAAACGGGTAGTTTTTGAGTGGGTTAATGTGGACCGATCAGGTGGGACCCGTCCACGTTGGTTACTAAGGATTATTATATGACTATAGGACTAGGTATTGTCCATAGTTAAGTGAATGCAAGGTTAGCCATATCCAGGTTAGGGTTTGGTTAGAAATAAGGTTGAGGTTGAGTATCCTCGGGACGGTAAATGATCCTAAAACTCGGTGAGGTTGAGTATCCTCAGGACGGTAAACAATCCTAAAACTCGGTTGAGGTTGAGCATCCTCGGGACGGTAAATGATCCTAAAACTCGGTTGAGGTTGAGCATCCTCGGGACGGTAAATGATCCTAAAACTCGGTTGAGGTTGAGCATCCTCGGGACGGTAAATGATCCCAAAACTCGGATGGGGTTGAGTATCCCCGGGAGGGTTAACACTCCTGAAACTCGGTAGGATATTATGAAGGTAGAATGTAGCTCTTAAGCTAGGCATTCAGGAATGAAAGGGGAAAGGTTGGGTAAGTACCTTGTCTCTAAAAGACTCTTCTGTGAGAAAACGACCTACGGGTCAAGTATTTTACAAGTATATACAGTATGTATTATCTTGGGAATGGGGTGACAATGGTTACACCTATAAATATATGTATCATCCTATTTTTGGGTCTCGTGTCTGAGACATTAGTTATTCCTCATATAGCCTGCTTGTCACTAGTACTTCTATGGAGTACTGACCCCTTCGGGGGCCCTCACATTTTTCAGGTTGAGGCTAGAGTCCTGCTACCTGCACCTTTGCCCAGGGTGAACTCAAATAAGGAAGACGTGGTTCGTGCTTCCATTCTTATTTGAAATTATGAAATTGCTCATGGATATTTGAACGATGTTTTCTATTAAACTATTGAAGGGCCTGCGTGCTCATGTTTGCCACGTGTGGCTAAATGTCAAACATATTTTATTTCCGCATTTGTTTGATTTATATATTGATGTTGATTGTATGAGTTTACTAATCGGTTTGGCAATAGAATCTATCAGACGCCTTGTATGATTTGATAAGAATGAACTACGTTGTTCTTATTGGGTTGTACGGCGGTTGTCTACGTGGCACGGACGCGGTCCGGGGCGTGACAATTAAATGGTATCAGAGCCATCGATTTCTAAACTATATAATTAACCTCTCAATATAGTATCATCAAAAATGTTTTGAGCAAAACCATGAGCAAAAGTTTTTGTACTTAAGGAACCGTTGGAAACCAAGTTATTGACCTCTTATTGTTAAGACGGTACCCTTAACAGTTTGTTGGCCATAATGTTGGACCAAGTGGTGTCTTTTGTACTATTCCGTCAATTGACATTGATACGAGTTTAACGGCTCATTCCAAATTTCTTTCAGAAATGGAGGGTAGAGGCATGGCTACGAGGAACAACCCGAGAGGGCAAACTCCGGTGACGTCCGAAGGGGCTAGCCAGGTTGCATCTCGGGGCGCGAGAGGCGGTAGGAGAGGCCGCGGAGGCCGTGGAGGCCGGGGAGGTCATCGGGCTCAAACCGTGAGCGATGGCCATGTTAGCTCGGTGCATGGAACTCACACCGAGGATTATGACTCTACCTATGTTCCCGAGACGGGACATGAGGAGACCCCATACGATGGGGGTGATACGTATACTGATGATGACAACGATGAGAGTGATGCCAAATTCGCCCAGATGGGTGAACTATTTGAGTGGTATCAAAAGGAGAAGTTGAGGAGAGATCTTAGGCGCCAAGCTAGGCGTGCCTCTCAGGGGGCTTCAGGTCACGGAAGCCGGGGAGCATCAGTGGCTACACCTGTGGCGTCACAGGGAATGCATGGAGGAGGTTTTTGTGTAAGAATCTCCAAATACCTCAAGGAGGCTAGGGCCTTGGGGTGCAAGTCATTTGACGGCAAGGGTGATATATCGGTGGCTGCCGATTGGATAAAGAAGCTAAATGAGGCTGCTAGGGATATGCAGATCGGGCTTGATATAAAGCTGACAGTTGCTACCAGGTTACTGGAGGGAGTAGCCGCGGTATGGTGGGAAGGCGTGGAAGGAAAGTTCCACGGTGAGACCACCTGGGAGAAATTTGAAGTAGAATTCTATAATCAGTACTACTCAGAGTTCGAAAAGAACCAGAAGAGGAAGGAGTACATGACCCCGGTACAGGAGGAGGATTGCTCGGTGAGGCAACTGGAACAAAGGTTCCGGGACTTGGCACGATACATACCTGAGTACGCCATGGATGAGAACCGCATGGCTAATCACTTCTGGGATACCCTACAGTTGGATATCCGTGATAGGGCCACCTACAATCATCACATGACTTTTAGTGAGATTGTGGATCAAGGGCTACTTGGGGAAGCCAAGTGGAATGAAAGGAAGAAGAGAGACGCCGAAGAGGCGAAGAAAAGAAGATGGGGAAATTCTGGACCCCAAGACCATTCTCGGAAACATCACGCCGGGAATGGAAGATCATTCAGGGCGCCGGAACCACCGGCAAAGAAGAGTAAGGGCCCAGGAGGGCAAGGGCATAGCTCGGGGAGCGTGAGGCCACCAAGGTGTCCGAACTGTAACACGAATCACTCCGGGAAGTGCAATGAACCACCCCGGTGCTACAAGTGTGGTAGCACAAGCCACCTCAAGCTCTCTTGCCCAATGTTGAGTGGAGGTGGGCCATCGGGAGCTGTTGAGGCACCTACGTCTGGTAGGGGTCGTGCGGGACCATCTCAAGGCGGCACGGGAAGGGGCGGACCCACGGCCAGTAACGCCGCGTCCGTTAACCAAGGGAGGACCCAAGCACGGGTGTATGCAATGACCGAGGCCGATGCTCAGGCTAACCCGGACTCTATTGCAGGTAACCCCTTGATTCCACGTGCCGTTTTTCATCTGTTTTAAAGCTAAAATCTGCAGGAAACATGTGATACCCGATCGGGTATCCATATATACCCGACCAGGTATGAGCAAATTGCTCGGTTTTGAGGTGGGTACTCGTTCGAGCAAGTTTAGCAGAACCCTCCGATTTTGGCAAATCCAGCCATACTCGACCGGGTATGGTTATATACTCGATCGAGTATTAGTAAATTTTTGTTTTTGAGGCATGTACTCGATCGAACGGCGTAGGCAGAAAGTTTTTATTTAACACTTTGAGTGATACCCGACCGGGTATGGGCATATACCCGACCGGGTATAGATAGTTTGTTCGGGTTCAGGGTGTGTACTCGACCGGACAAGGATAACAGGGAGTTTTCCCTTAAGGACTCGAGCTATACCCGACCGGGTATAGGGTCCTACCCGACCGAGTATAGTATAGTCCTAAGCCGGGAATTGTTTCGCTAAGTCCTTTTCAGTCGGGACGTTATGTCGAGTGTCTTACATGGCTTGTATATGTAGGGACACTAAAGATCAATGGTAAACACGCGAGAATTCTCATCGACACCGGGGCGCAACGTTCATTTATGAGCGAAGCGTTTGCCAAGGGATTGGGCATGCCGTTAGTAGCAATGGCGCAACCTTTGTGGGTCTCTACACCGTTGGGAGATGATGTAGAGAGGAAGCACTACTATCCTTCATGTAATGTGGAGATAGGGGAGCACCGTCTAATGGGCGACCTTGTACCGTTAGACATGCTTGAGTTCGATGCCATACTCGGCATGGACTGGCTTGAGAAACACCATGCAAAGGTAGATTGCTACACCAAGGTGTTAGAATTAGAAGACGAAGAGGGAAATACTCTATGCTTCGAGGGAGATAGAGGAAAATTCAATCCCTGTATCATATCGGCCTTAAGGGCGAGGCGGTTGATGAAGAAAGGTTATCAAGCATACTTAGCCTATGTCATAGGCAAGGAGGGCAAAGGAAAGAGCCTCACGGAGGTGAGGGTGGTGAGGGAGTATCCAGAAGTTTTCCCTGAAGAACTCCCGGGACTCCCACCAGATCGGGAGATCGAGTTTGAGATTGAGGTTGAACCAGGCACCAAACCCATCTCAATTCCTCCGTATCGAATGGCACCGGCTGAACTCCAAGAGTTGAAAGTTCAATTGGAAGAGCTACTAGATAATGGATTCATTAGACCGAGTCATTCACCATGGGGAGCACCCGTACTCTTTGTAAAGAAGAAGGATGGTACAATGAGAATGTGTATCGACTACCGTCAATTGAACAAGGTCACAATAAAGAACAAATATCCTTTGCCAAGGATTGACGACTTGTTTGATCAATTACGGGGGGCAACCGTGTTCTCCAAGATCGACTTGAGGTCGGGCTACCATCAACTAAAGATCAAGGAGAGTGACATACCCAAAAGTGCATTCCGTACAAGGTATGGTCACTATGAGTTCCTAGTAATGTCGTTTGGGCTTACAAATGCCCCCGCGGCATTCATGGACCTCATGAATCGAGTATTTCATCAATACTTGGACCAATTCGTCATAGTGTTCATAGATGACATCTTGATATACTCCAAGAACGAAGAAGAACACGAGAAACATCTAAGGCTCGTACTTGGAACACTGCGGGAGAAGCAACTCTTTGCCAAATTCTCTAAGTGTGAATTTTGGCTTGGGGAGATCGGTTTTCTCGGGCATGTGGTATCAGGTTCGGGCATTTCTGTTGATAACTCGAAGATTGAAGCAGTCACTAATTGGGAGAGGCCCAAGAATGTAAAGGAAATAAGGAGTTTCCTTGGTTTAGCGGGGTATTACCGCAAATTCGTGGAGAAGTTCTCCGTAATAGCATCTCCACTCACGAAGCTCACAAAAAAGGGAGCTAAGTTTGTGTGGGATGACAAGTGTGAGAAAGGGTTTCTTGAGCTAAAGAAACGGTTGACGGAAGCACCAGTACTTGCTCTACCCGTGCAAGGGTTGGGGTATGACATCTATAGCGATGCTAGCATCCAGGGACTTGGGTGCGTACTGATGCAATCGGGGAAGGTAATTGCTTATGCTTCTCGGCAGCTGAGGAAGCATGAAGTGAATTACCCCACACATGACCTTGAGCTAGGAGCTGTGGTATTTGCTTTGAAGATTTGGAGGCATTACCTCTACGGTGAGGTGTGTCACATTTATACTGATCACAAAAGTTTGAAGTACGTGTTCACTCAGAAAGAGTTGAACATGAGGCAGAGAAGATGGATGGAGTTAATCAAGGATTACAACTTGATTATAGACTATCATCCAGGGAAGGCTAACGTGGTAGCCGATGCTCTTAGTAGAAAGAGTTCATCGGGGGTTTTATTCTCATGCTTGCAAGCATTGAGGGCACGCGTGGAGGTATCCACGAATGGGGCTCTATTGGCCAGATTTGAGGTGAGACCCACCTTATTAGACGAAATCAGGACGCGTCAAGGCAATGACGAGGAAATTCAGAAAATCCGGGAACGAATGTTGGTGGGACCCGTCGAGGGTTTCCGTGAGAGAGAAGATGGACTCCTACTATTCAGGGAGCGAGTGTGTGTGCCGTCAGACGAGGAGCTCCGAAAATCTATTCTTGAGGAGGCTCACTCATCTGCGTATGCCATGCACCCGGGTGGAACAAAGATGTACCGGGACTTGAAGGAAAGTTACTGGTGGTCAGGGATGAAGAGAGAGATTGCAGAATATGTGAGTCGTTGCCTTACCTGTCAGCAGGTTAAGGCAGAGCACCAGCACCCGGCGGGGTTATTACAGCCGCTTACCATTCCAGAATGGAAGTGGGAGCATGTTACCATGGACTTCGTGGTAGGTCTACCACGGACTGTTAGAAACTATGATGCGGTATGGGTGATGGTTGATAGGTTGACCAAAAGTGCTCATTTCCTGCCTATTAACACTACTTATACGCTTGAGCGACTGGCTAAGTTGTACACAGATGAGATCGTGAGACTGCATGGGGTTCCGGTTACTATAGTATCGGATAGAGACCCACGGTTCACATCACGATTTTGGCCTAAGTTCCAAGAATCCATGGGTACGAAGTTAAAGTTCAGCACAGCGTTTCATCCTCAAACGGATGGGCAATCTGAACGGGTGATTCAGATTTTGGAGGACATGTTGAGGGCATGTGCCTTGGAGTTCCAAGGAAGTTGGGACAACCAGTTGGCCTTGGTGGAGTTTGCTTATAACAACAGTTATCAAGCAAGTATAGGCATGCCTCCATACGAGGCATTGTATGGGAGGAAATGTCGGACACCTTTGTGTTGGGATGAGGTAGGCGAGGCTAAGCTTGAGGGCATCGAGCTAGTCGAGATCACCAAGGAGAAGGTGAGGGTCATCCAGGATAGGCTCAAGGCTGCCCAAGATCGGCAGAAGAGTTATGCAGATAAACGTCGGAGGACGTTAGAGTTCGAGGTCGGCGATGAGGTATTTCTGAGGGTGTCACCTTGGAAAGGGATCATCAGGTTCCTCAGTCGGGGTAAGCTTAACCCACGCTACATAGGCCCATTCAAAATCATTGAAAGGATCGGGGTTGTAGCATACCGGCTTCAGTTAACTCCAGAATTAGAAAAGATTCATAGTGTATTTCATGTTTCTATGCTCAAGAAGTATGTACGGGACCCGTCACATATTCTTGAGAAACCACCGGTAGAAATCCGGGAGGACCTTCACTATGCGGTGCAACCGGTAAAGATCATGGACCGACAGGTAAAGAAGTTAAGGAGTAAAGAGGTACCGATGGTGAAGGTACTTTGGAAGAGTGATCGTGTCGAGGAGCAAACTTGGGAAGCGGAGACCCTGATGAGGGAACAGTATCCATTTCTGTTCGACTAGACACGTGGATTTCGGGGACGAAATCCCAAATAAGGGGGGTAGAACTTGTAACACCGCCCCCAAGTATTTGTACTTTATCAAATTATGTATTGAACCCAAGAAATGAATAAAAGCATTTTACGTGATTGTGAATTTTTATCATTTCTTTTACGTGAATAGTAAAATTCACGTGGGGCCCACACCGGAAGTGGGGGCCGCCCGATAATATCGGGGCCACATATTATATTCATTTGGGTCAAGATAATATGTGTATAATGGTGGATATCCTTGTTGGGCCATAGAATTTATGTGAGTAACCTTTTTGGCAAATAAAGCCCATTTATCGGTACCGGTGTACTGACAGATAAAAGTCATAATAAATTATGGAGACCGCTAAATTAAAAGTTGGGGGATGTACACTCCTTCTTACATCCAATAATAATTGGAAGAATGATAGATATTTCATTTTACCCGATAAAATGAAACATAGTTAAAACAGTCCGGAAAATACAACTTTCGGGACCGAGTGTACACTCGGGGACACAAAGGGATGACCACCCATCTAAGTGGGGGCCATCCCCACGTTTTAGTCTTGCAAATGTCCATGGGAGCCGCACAAGGACATGGAGAAACAAGGAGGAAAATTGATTGAGAGCTCAATCAATTGGAAGGTGGGACCCTTGCCATAGTATTATTGTGAGAGATGCCAAAATGGCATTCTCAATCACACCAACTAATCCCATTCGTATCCAGCATCAACCAAGTGAGAGAAGCTCATCAAAATCTCCATTTTCATCCACCATATTCGAACCAAAGCTTAAGGAGAAGAAGGAGGGGAAAGAAAAGAGAAAGAAGGAGGAAAACTTGAGGATTAACAAGGTAATAACTCCATTAATCTCATCCCTCTTCATTAACCTTCCAATATGATTATATGATCATATTTCACACCCCTAGGACCATTCTACATGTTATATGGGAAGAATGAAGGGTTGGGAGGTTGGTTCATATCCAAAACGGATTTAGAGAACAAAGTTGACCGGTTCGTCGGAAAATAACCTTTTAGAGGTTATTTGTGTTGATATGGGTTTTATGATGATAAAACCTTGTTGTTAACTTGTATAAGGTACTTCAAGGACTTTCACGGAGTTGAAAGGGCCGCCGGAGTGTCGCCGGAGTTCGTTGAAGTTCACCGGAGTTTCACCGGAGCTCAATAAGAAAGGCTAGAACTTCATAAGCTCTTTTGAGGTGAGAAGACGGCTATATGCTTTATAACTTTTGATTGAGGCATGAGATTACCTAAAGTAATCAAGGATATGTTTTACGGAATGATTAAAGTTAATCAAGTATTGGCTTATGCCATGATTATATATAAAACAAAGTTGAAAGGCATGTTTTGTATGTTTGGTGATTAAAAATGTGATAACTTATTATGTACAATGATCCAGGGGTCAAAAATGGTATTTTTGGATCAAGGACTTCAAGTAGAATATGCATGTAAAATTTCACGTTAATCGGACTCCGTTTGGGCGGTCAAACGGGCGTTGACCTCCAAGTCAACTACAATACCCGACCGGGTGTCTGCTGAAAAATTGGCTCCAAGGGCCGCTGTCTCCTATACCCGATCGAGTATGGATAGATACTCGATCGAGTATGCCTTGAAAATTAGCCTTATGGGCTCCTGACTCCTGTACTCGACCGAGTATTGATGGGTACTCGATCGAGCATTGAGTTATACTCAAAACGGGTAGTTTTTGAGTGGGTTAATGTGGACCGATCAGGTGGGACCCGTCCACGTTGGTTACTAAGGATTATTATATGACTATAGGACTAGGTATTGTCCATAGTTAAGTGAATGCAAGGTTAGCCATATCCAGGTTAGGGTTTGGTTAGAAATAAGGTTGAGGTTGAGTATCCTCGGGACGGTAAATGATCCTAAAACTCGGTGAGGTTGAGTATCCTCAGGACGGTAAACAATCCTAAAACTCGGTTGAGGTTGAGCATCCTCGGGACGGTAAATGATCCTAAAACTCGGTTGAGGTTGAGCATCCTCGGGACGGTAAATGATCCTAAAACTCGGTTGAGGTTGAGCATCCTCGGGACGGTAAATGATCCCAAAACTCGGATGGGGTTGAGTATCCCCGGGAGGGTTAACACTCCTGAAACTCGGTAGGATATTATGAAGGTAGAATGTAGCTCTTAAGCTAGGCATTCAGGAATGAAAGGGGAAAGGTTGGGTAAGTACCTTGTCTCTAAAAGACTCTTCTGTGAGAAAACGACCTACGGGTCAAGTATTTTACAAGTATATACAATATGTATTATCTTGGGAATGGGGTGACAATGGTTACACCTATAAATATATGTATCATCCTATTTTTGGGTCTCGTGTCTGAGACATTAGTTATTCCTCATATAGCCTGCTTGTCACTAGTACTTCTATGGAGTACTGACCCCTTCGGGGGCCCTCACATTTTTCAGGTTGAGGCTAGAGTCCTGCTACCTGCACCTTTGCCCAGGGTGAACTCAAATAAGGAAGACGTGGTTCGTGCTTCCATTCTTATTTGAAATTATGAAATTGCTCATGGATATTTGAACGATGTTTTCTATTAAACTATTGAAGGGCCTGCGTGCTCATGTTTGCCACGTGTGGCTAAATGTCAAACATATTTTATTTCCGCATTTGTTTGATTTATATATTGATGTTGATTGTATGAGTTTACTAATCGATTTGGCAATAGAATCTATCAGACGCCTTGTATGATTTGATAAGAATGAACTACGTTGTTCTTATTGGGTTGTACGGCGGTTGTCTACGTGGCACGGACGCGGTCCGGGGCGTGACACATTACCTTGATTTACACACTTTTCCTAGCCCTTTTTCCTTCTTTAATCCCACTCCTTGGACCTTTCTTGCTTGAGCTCGAGTTGCAGCAATGGAGGAGGGTTGGAGAGCCTTTCTTTCTCTTTCTTGGGTGGCTTGGTCGAGCTATTGGGGTGAGGGGGTGATAGGATGGCCTTTTTGGCTCATCTCACCAATTATGGGGGAAAAGGGTCCCATCCTACCACATGGTTGACCTTCCTCCCACCTTCCCTTGTCCTTGCAGCTCCCAAGGGGTCACATGGAGCTGAATAAAACGTGGGATGGCCCCCACTCATGTGGGAGGTCATCCCTTTGTGTCCCGAGGTGTACAATCGGTCCCGAAAGTTGTATTTTTCGGACTGTTTTAATCATATTTTATTTTATCGGGTCAAATAGAATATATTATGTGCTCTTACTCATTATGACATGTATAATGAATATACATTCCCCAACTTTAATTTATAAGCCTCCGAAATTCATTTCCGGGCTGTTACCTGTTAAATTGTCGGTACTGGTAATTGGGCCTCTTTTTCCCAATCGGTCAACTCTACGCCTTTCCACGACCCAAATGAAATACCCACCACTATATAAATATTATCTTGACCAAGATGAATAAAATATGTGGTCTCGGGAGTGTCGGGCGGCCCCGCTCCCGGTGTGGGTCCCACGTGCAATTACTATTCACGCGAAAGAAATAATAAAGATTTACAACTTCGTAAATTCATTAATCCTTTAATAAGGTTCGATACATTATTTACATAAAGTAAATATATTTGGGGACGGTGTTACAAGTTCACCCCCCCTTATTTGGGATTTCGTACCCGAAATCCAAGTATCTAATCGAAAAGAAATGGGTATTGCTCCCTCATGGAGACCTCGGTCTCCCAAGTTTCTTCTTCGACTCGATCACTCCTCCAAAGGACCTTTACCATAGGAATCTCCTTATTCCTAAGCTTCTTCACTTGTTGACCAACAATCTTCACTGGTTCCACCGCATATTGCAAGTCCTCACGGATCTCTACCGGTGGCCTCTCAAGAATATGAGATGGGTCTCGTATGTACTTCTTGAGCATCGATACATGAAACACGTCATGTATCTTCTCAAGTTCAGGCGTCAACTTGAGACGGTAAGCCACGGCCCCGATCCTTTCAAGGATTTCAAACGGACCAATGTATCGGGGGTTAAGCTTCCCCCTCGATACGAATCGGATGATGCCCTTCCAAGGAGAAATCCTTAGGAAGACCTCATCACCGACTTCGAACTCCAACGGTCTCCGCCGTTTATCAGCATAACTCTTCTGTCGGTCCTGAGCGGCCTTCAGTCTATCCCGAATGATCCTCACCTTGGCCTTGGTGATCTCAACTAGCTCTATCCCTTCGAGTTTGGCCTCGCCAACCTCGTCCCAACACAACGGTGTTCTGCACTTCCTCCCATACAATGCCTCGTATGGAGGCATGCCAATACTTGCCTGATAACTGTTGTTATAGGCAAACTCCACTAGGGCCAAATGTTTGTCCCAACTTCCTTGGAACTCCAAAGCACATGCCCTAAGCATGTCTTCCAGAATCTGTATCACCCGCTCGGACTGTCCATCCGTCTGTGGGTGAAAAGCTGTGCTAAACTTCAGTTTAGTCCCCAGAGATGCTTGAAACTTTGGCCAAAATCGGGATGTGAATCGTGGATCCCTATCCGAGACAATGGATATTGGGACTCCATGTAATCTCACAATCTCCTCCGTGTATAGCTTGGCCAATCTTTCAAGAGGATAAGTAATGTTGATAGGCAGAAAGTGTGCACTCTTGGTGAGCCTATCAACCACTACCCATACGGCATCGTAGTTGTTCACTGTTCGTGGCAGCCCCACCACGAAGTCCATGGTCACATGTTCCCACTTCCACTCTGGGATGGTGAGCGGTTGTAAGAGCCCTGCTGGGTGCTGATGCTCCGCCTTAACTTGCTGGCAAGTAAGGCATCGACTCACAAACTCTGCGATATCTCTCTTCATACCTGACCACCAGTAGCTTTCCTTCAGATCTCGGTACATCTTAGTACCTCCTGGATGCATGGCATATGCTGAAGAATGAGCCTCCTCAAGTATAGACTTCTGGAGCTCCTCATTCTTTGGTATGCACACACGATCCTTAAATAATAAAAGACTGTCATCACGTACCCGAAAATTCTCGACAGGCCCCTCAAGGATCCGTTCGCGGATCTTCTGACATTCCTCATCAATGGCCTGACATCTACTGATCTCACTCAGCAATGTAGGCCTCACCTCGAACCTAGCAATGAGCGCCCCGGTCGTGGACACCTCCACGTGTGCCCTCAATACTCGAAGACAAGTAAGTAACGTCCCTGACGTACTCTTCCTGCTCAGTGCGTCGGCCACTACATTGGCCTTTCCGGGATGATAGTCGATAATCAAGTCATAGTCCTTGATCAACTCCATCCATCTCCTCTGCCTCATATTCAACTCTTTCTGAGTGAATACATACTCCAAGCTCTTATGATCAGTATAAATGTGACACGTCTCCCCGTAGAGATAATGCCTCCAAATCTTCAATGCAAACACTACCGCCCCCAACTCTAGATCGTGAGTAGGGTAGTTCACCTCGTGTTTCCTCAATTGCCTAGAAGCATAGGCAATCACCTTACCGTTTTGCATTAGCACACATCCAAGCCCTTGGATGCTAGCATCGCTGTAAATATCATACCCTATCCCCTGTATGGGTAGGGCGAGGACTGGTGCTTCGGTAAGTCGTTTCTTCAGTTCAAGGAACCCCTTCTCACACTTGTCGTCCCATATGAACTTGGCCCCTTTCTTTGTGAGCTTCGTTAATGGAGACGCCAATACGGAAAATTTTTCAACAAATTTACGATAGTATCCCGCTAAGCCAAGGAAACTACGTATCTCTTTCACATTCTTTGGTCTCTCCCAATCCACGATAGCTTTTATCTTGGCGTTATCCACAGCTACGCCCGAACCGGATATGACGTGACCTAGAAAACCAATCTCCTTGAGCCAAAATTCGCATTTAGAGAACTTGGCAAAGAGTTGCTTTTCCCTTAGCCGATCAAGTATAAGCCTCAAATGATGTTCGTGCTCCTCCTCACTCTTGGAGTATATCAAGATATCATCAATGAATACTATCACAAATTGATCTAAGTATTCACTAAACACCCGGTTCATCAAGTCCATGAATGCTGTCGGTGCATTGGTTAAACCAAACGACATCACAAGAAACTCGTAGTGACCATATCTAGTGCGAAATGCACTCTTAGGTATGTCACTCTCCTTGATCTTCAACTGATGATACCCCGATCTCAAGTCAATCTTCGAGAATACTATAGCCCCTCGAAGTTGATCAAACAAGTCATCAATCCTAGGTAAAGGATACCTGTTCTTGATTGTGACCTTGTTCAACTGTCGGTAGTCGATACACATTCTTAGCGTACCATCTTTCTTCTTTACAAAGAGTACGGGTGCTCCCCACGGTGAATGACTGGGTCTGATGAATCCGTTGTCCAACAGTTCTTGTAGTTGGACCTTCAACTCTTGAAGCTCGGCCGGTGCCATTCGATAAGGAGGAATCGAAATGGGTTTGGTTCCCGGCTCCACTTCAATTACAAACTCTATCTCTCTATCGGGTGGAAGCCCCGGTAGGTCTTTGGGAAAGACATCCGGGTATTTGCATACGACCCGTACATCTTTGATGTCGACTTCCTTCTTGGTATCGTCCACCATGTAGGCAAGGTATGCGTGGCATCCCTTCCTCATCATCTTCCTTGCCCTCATCACGGATATGATGCAAGCATTAGATTTCCCCCGATCTCCTTCAAAACGTAGCATATTCCCTTGATCATCCTCAAGCTCCAACACCTTGGTGTAGCAATCCACTCGGGCATGGTGTTTCTCGAGCCAATCCATTCCTAGGATTGCATCGAACTCCAACATGCTCAGAGGTACGAAATCACAAGTCAAAGGTTGACCCGTCACTTCCACCTCACATGATGGATAGTACTGATTTCTCTCCACGTCGTCTCCTAACGGTGTGGAGACTAGCAATGTTTGTGTCATAGGCGTCAATGGCACGTCGAGCCCCTTAGCAAACGCCTCACTCACAAATGAGCGTTGTGCCCCGGTATCGATGAGGATCCTCGCACACCTACCATTGATCTTTAATGTTCCTACATTTATACACCATGTAAGATACATTTTCTAATGTTTTTACACACCTTTAGGAGGTTATTAGGTTCATACTAATGTTTGGAATCAAACGGGGGTCCAAACGTAGAAGAACGGGGCGAAAAAATCGAGTTTCGGGTGCCGGGGGTCCACACACGGCATGCCTGGGTGGCACGCACGGCCGTGCGTGCAACGAATTCTTCCTGCACCCCTCTGCCTCCCAGGCACGGTGCCAGGCACGGCGTGCCTGCGGCCGTGCCTGGCCAAAAATTTTCGGGGCGCCACTGCCTTCCAGGCACGGTGCCAGGCACGGCGTGCCTGCGGCCGTGCCTGGCCAAAATTTTTTTTTTTTTTCTTCGGGGCGCCACTGCCTTCCAGGCACGGTGCCAGGCACGGCGTGCCTGCGGCCGTGCCTGGCCGGCAGTGGCTGTGTTCCATCTGTTTTGGCCTAACTCGCCCGGTTTGACCCCGGGGTGGCCCGCACTCAATCCCAACGACGTATATGATCAAAGTAAGCCTAGAAATGCCCAAAATAAGGGTATTACCTGCGACGGAGTCCGGGTTTGCCCGCGCATCCGCCTCGGTCATCGCGTAGACTCGTGCTTGGGTCCCACCTTGGTTGACCGATGCG